GTGTTGCATATGGTAATTAATCTTCAAGTGTAACTTTATGATAGGCTATCATAATTTCTTAAACCATAATTCATTACTCTGTCATGGACCAGAAATTTGTATATTTCCTTGTTACTTGCTTAATCATTGTGCCTTCTGTTTTCAAAAGATTCGGAGATGGAAACCACATTGAAAAAAAAAAGTAAAATAGTACAGTTATGGGTAAAATCAGAATACAAACCATATATATAGCTACCACTTGGGGTAGAATTATTATAGTCAAAACTATTTGAATTTACGGGCCACAAAAGAAAACAGTTCAGGTTTCATTGCTTATTATATGTGGTAGAAAAATGGCTAGGACATCAGATTTCTTTTCAGGAAAATGTTGGTAGAATTGAACATGAAGATTCCTCCCCCTCGTCCACCATGAATGCTTAAGTGAAGGATAATTGCTAATGAACAATAGGAAGTTAACATTGACTTTGTATTGCTTTTATAAAAAATGAAAATGGTCTTTGGTGTGTAGCCTTTGTTAACAGTTGCAGCATGAACACTCAATTGGTAGAGAAGTATGACTGAGTTAGCTTCCTTTTTACTGCCCAGCGCCCACTGTCATATACTGGGTCAGACTTTGGGGATAAAAAAATATATGGCCCTTGAAGTACTTACTCCACTAGGGAGATTAATTAGACAAACAGATTATTAGCATGTAGGGTGTGAGGTGCCATAAAGGAACCATGTATCCAGTGCCATTGGGGCCCAGCCAGGGGATACATCTTGGATAGTTGGGGGGAAAGTTGTAATGATGAGTTATATTTTAACTGATTCTTTAAGTTTGCCAGGTTGAAAGGAAATGAAGAGACATTCCTTACAAAATACTTTTTAATGTTCTAACTTATGTTAGGAACTTTCACAATCTAATCTAACTTTCACTAAACTTTTACTTCCTGTGTCATGTCTTCAGTGGCTCTTCGGCCTGTACTAGACTTCAGTAACTTTGTGATTAAATTTTCTGTGATGACTGCAGTGCAGACAGACATCCTAGCATGTGGTCAAAACCCAGAAAGAGTGGGTAAAATGATAGTTTTGAAAAGAAGGAAAGGAAGTAGATGAGGTAGAGGTGTCACTGTGCCAAAAAATTTTGAAGTTGATTTACATTTTCAGCTAAATAGAAGAGGAATCATTTTTATACATGTAGCAAAGGGACCTAAAGATTAACCCAATATTATCCTCAGAAAATAACTTGAATTCTTATGAATTACCTGCACAGACATTTCCCTTGGACCCCAGTGTCCTGCCCCATGCAACACAAAAGAAATGAGTTCACTCTAAAAGAGTTCAAGACCAGTTATTATCATCGAAAAACAACATTCCTGAACTTTAGGCCTCCAAAGTATCTGATTTTAAATAGAGCTGCTTCCTTGTGGCCCCTGTAGGATTACTTAGCTGTGCATTATATGCTGGAGCTGCTCAGAGGTTTGACCCATGTATTATTTTAGATGCTAGGTAAATGATTACCACATGCAATTTTATTTCTTATGTTATTGATATTGAGTGACTTCTCCTGACAACATCTAGTTGTTAGGGCTCAAGAAGACTTTTCAAAACTCTTGTTCAGAACACACACAGGTCTTTCACACTTCAGAATCTCTGGTATCTACCTGCTTGACTGTTACCTTTATATATCGTGGCAATCTCAGACATACACAGTGCCACTTGGAAATCCATTCTTCATCACTTTTTCTAGATATCTTCTTTGTGTTCCTCTCATTAAATGAACTACTTACTATTCACCTAGTGACTCAAGATATAAGCAGTATATTAATTATTGACATCCTCTCTCAGTCCTTAAGTCTTAAGCAATCAGACTAACTCAATATTTCTGACATCTAGACACTTAACTTCATTTTATGTGCCATAAACCTTGTCCACATCACCATCATCCATTTGAATATTGTCCTAGTATCCTGAATGGCCACCCTGCTTCCACTTTTGCTGTTCTGATCAGTTTCCCACATAGTACCTACAGTGATCTTTATAAAATATAACTTCATAATATCATTTCATTATGCTTACAAGCTTTCAATGGCTTCTCACTGTATTTTAGATAAATTAACAAATATTTACCCTGGTCTATATGGATGAGTTTGATAAGCCCTTGACTGACCTCTCCAACTTAGCTTTTCCCCATTCTCTTTTACTTTCTCTCGCAGCATGCTGACTTTCTCTTAACTCTTTGCATGTGCCATGCTCTTTCCTGCCTGAGTGTCATTTCCCTGTTTTTCTCTGCCTAGAATGCTGTCTAGTTACTCCTTTTTATCTTAACTTAATGGTTACTATTTTTTTAAAAGATTTTAAAAATTATTTATTTTTGCATAGAAGAACTGGGTGTAGGCAAGAGGTGCAGGGGGTGAAAGGATTCACCAGAGGCAGAGTAGGGAGCAGAATGACTGAAATACACTGCTAAGTGGAGAAGCAAATGAGACAGGAGAGGTCTGCTGCACCATATGTGGATTAGCTCCCTGGCTGGGGCTGGAACTCAGGCCTTAGGTGTGATTGCACTGAGATTTAACTCCTAGGCCACCAGGGAGGCCCTGGTTACTATTTTTTGAGTGGTTTTTTCAGACCATTCAATTTAAAGTTGCCCTTTTATAATCCCTATCAAGACTTAATCAGAATTTTAGAAGATGAGTTTGTTCCATCTGTATGTCCTGCATCTAATATGATACTCCATAGGTATCATATCTGTATAGGTCCCCGAGGCACAGTGGAGCACAGTGTACAGGAATGCTGCTTCATAAACATTTGTTGAATAAGACTTTGATTAAAATAAAATTCAACTGAGAAAGGAGCATCTTGACTTTGCCTTTGCAGAACAACAACTGATTCCTGTGTTGTGCTTGCAAACTGCTTCCAAATGAGTGTCAACTTGAGCACTAAAAGAAAGTCAGTTATTTCCCATTTTGCCTTGCAGCAAAAAAAAAAAAAAAAAAAAAATCTTGGTGGTATCTTTGGTGTGTGTCCTTGAGAATCCAGAAGACTAAGAGGTTAGGTCATATTTGGCTTATTTTAAGCTGTCAAACCTTGAAAAAGTCAACCAAATTCTCCCAGGTCTGTTTCCCCATATATAAAATGAGGAAAATTGTAACTATCCCATGGGCTTGTTATGAGGATTACATGAGATTATTTTTGCAGAGTGCTGGGCATTTTGTTAGAGTTCAGACATTCTCTCTCTTCTCTATATAACAAGAGAGTAATAAGAACTTGGAGAAAAAAATCATTTAAATTACCTCACAATCTTAGTGTTTTTATTTAGTGCAAAATCATACCCAAATGAGGGTCAAGATCAGTTTAAGAGGAAATAATCCATCTCTAGGGTGCAAATAAGCTGTGATGGACTAGTTATTTAATGGTCAATAGCATTGGGCGTCCTCAAAAAGATACACAGGGAATTCTCCTTTGCTTATCCCCAGGGTTGTATATAACATTGTAAAATTGTAATGGCAAATGAGTATAAATAAATTTCCATTCTGGTTAAGTAGATATTCTATGGAGATAGGACACATGAAAACATTTTCTCCATTTTAGATATTCCTATGGAGAAACATTTGTAGTAACAATGAAAACTCTGGATTCCAAAACACTGCAGTTTTGTTGTCCGTTTTGAGGGAAATTAAAAAATTTATATTCTGAAGACAGGTTATTATAGTGAAATAGGTTAGATTCACATTGGTAGGTAGAATGTATCTTAGCACCTACTTAGGTATATTAGTCTCTTTGCTATATTGAGTTTAAGGGAAAATGCTTGAGTTGTGTCTGTCAAATTCATCAAAGAGTAATTCTCAGAATAACTTGATTAGCCTTCCTTGCCTCTATTAAATTTGTCTCACTGGATGTCATGTGGCAGTAACAATGGCAAGGGGAATTGTTTCTCCATAAGTCAAATCTTTCAGAGAGCATTAAAAGACTTGAGCATTAAAAGTTCAAGCCCTTTGCATTTGTCTGCTCAAGTGTTGATCCAAACAAGGACCTGTGTAGGTAAGATTTACTCTTGGTTAGAGGGATAGAGAGTAATATTAATAGACGTAAGGCATTAACTGACTGCTTAGCTTAGTTGCTTAGATGTGAGAACTTTGAGGACAAGAGAAAAGATGTGGATTTCTTTTGTGTCTTGTTTACTCTCTCATGTTTTGTGGCCAAAGTTCTCACCTCAGACCCTAGCCAGCAATGTCTTGAAAATTTGTTTGATTGGACGTTTGGGACATTAGACTAGAAAAATGTGAATGTACCTGGGCAGATTTATGACCACCACTATAGAAGGTGTGCTGTATTGACAGAGCATTGATATGTGTACTGATGTCTAGACATTACTATTAGCTTATGATCAGTTTCTCACTGCAAATTCAATTTCATAAAACAATATAGCTTAACTGAAAATTGTGGCTGCTAATGTCAACATTGTCCCAAAGGAGTGCTGTCATCTTATGGGGTATACTGTAATTATTTGCATTGTTTTCAGTTTTAAAAAAGAAATGTTCCTTTACTTATATTGTCTGTTAAAGTGAGTATAAGTTGATATTCTCTTTTAATAGTCTGGTTATTGAATTTTCTTTCGGTACTTTTTGTTCTTTGTCTGGCGGCTGCTGCAGTGCTTTAACAAGCAATTAAAGTGATATCTTCTCAACAGTTTTTGACCTTTTCTTGAGTAGAATGGGAGCCTTCTATTAAATAAAATAGTGTGTTACTTTTGCTGAAACGCAAGACTGATAGTTCAAAACAGATGACTCTAGACGTCCCAGCAGAGGACTTCAGAGTCTTTCTCTCTCCCCTAAACTGATTTGATGTTTAAATGGCTTCTTAAGAGTCTTTTGGTTTCATCAGGTGCTAAGAATTGAAAAAGAAGTCGTGAAAGAACCACAGTAGTATGCTTTGGTCTGTCTATGAGTTGCCTATCAGCAGCTTATTATGGAATGTGACTTAACATTCTCTCTCTCTCTCTCTCTCTCTCTTTTTAACAGAATGCTATGAACCTACCCCCTGACAAAGCCCGGTTACTGCGGCAGTATGACAATGAAAAAAAGTGGGAACTGATTTGTGATCAGGTAAGAAACAGCAATGCCTTTATTAAAAAATAATGACAGTAGAGAACCAGATTTCCTTCCTAAATATACTAGATTTTTTTCAGGAGATGAATGGATTTCTGTTACTGTCTGATTTCTTAGGATCAAAGGAAAACTTAGAAATGAATTATTTTATTCATGCTTTATTTTCATTCTTTTATTTATTTTGAAACATTTTGAATTAGATAGTTTGGAAAATTTGGTCAAGTGGGCAAACCATGTTCAGGGGATCTGTTTGTGTAGTTACCTTGCACAGCGGTTTATGCTGCTTGCATAATGCCAGCCATTTGACGTAGTTGCTATTCCTAGTCACGCGTATTGATATATACTCATGTAAGACGGTGAATTGTTCATAAAGAAACACTCATTAGGTGGGTAAAAAAATTATTTCAGAAGTTCTCCGGCCTTTTTTTTTTTTTTTTTTGGTCATTATTAACTCATAATGCATTCAGGCTATTCAGAGGGATTTCAATGAAAATTGAAATTCTCCATTTCTTTCTGTTTTCCAAATTTTGCTCTTTAGATGTCCTCTGGTAAAATTTGAAGTCTCTCCTAACAACTTTTTTTTTTATGTGTGTGTTTTAAAAAACAAACCAAAGTTAAATGAACACACACATTCTTCTGTATTTTGATACCTTCATTGGTTGGTGTATATGTCTCTATCTCCTTCTTTTAAATGGTAGGTAGTATACCACTGTAACTGGTAGTAACTTTTTGGCACTTCATCACAGCACTTAGTATAGGTAAAATGTTTTAAAATGTTGGAAAGATTACTCTTAAAATACAGAGGAGGCTCTGTATATGAAATCTTTTATTTTGTGCCATTAGTTTTAAGGTGATTATGTTCCCCCCACCCTGCCACCACCCTAAAGTTTCTTGGGGACTGTTGTAATTCCTCCTAACACAGCTCCTTTGGGTCTCTACTGTGGGGGCAAAATGTGTCAGGGGAGTGGAAAGTTTTTTGTTCCTCTCAGGTAGAGTGTCCCCGTTCCCTTAGAAATTGATGCCTAGAGTTTGCATGGAACTTCAGAAGCCCTCGCTCTGTGTGTGTGTGTTGTTTTACCTTAGCACCTAATTCAAGCAGCAGTGGAAAGGTGGTAAAATCATCCTCTCCTTTCCAGGCCATATTTGAGCCCCCAGAGTAGGTAGTAATTGAAGAGGAAGTTTACTGCTTTTGTGACTATATCCCCAAAGAATGCATTTTTGCTGACAGTCTCCTTCCTGAGACTTAATTTTTATCTAGATGTATTATTGCAAGGAAAAAAATGATTTTATAGTGGCAATAGACAAAGATAAGAGATAATTACTATTAAAGGAAATGTATTGCCACAAATGAGGGAGATGCCAGGGGCTGAAAAATTCTCCAGTGTGACAGGTTGTGATAGAGTGGAGAGCACAAGACTCCTGAGGTGACATTTTGTTAGTGTTGAGAGGAAGGGCTAAATCCTCCTTCCTTCCTCACACCTGCAAAATTCACTGTCATCTCAGTTTGCTCTGCTCCTTCTGGCTTTATTGAGTTATTTTTGCATCTCCAATATGCCAAAGGGGAAGACAGCTGATGATTGAAGATTTCTAATAACTGTACTTTTTTCTGATACCAAAAGTAGCTTTGTAGGGTTGATGATGAGCCAAGGGGATTCTGAGGCTGAGAGAGGAACAAATCTTCAAGTTTAGGCTATTATTGCCTTTAAAAGTGACCATGCTAGGACATGGAAAATATAGCTACTTCATCTATTCCTATCTGGCAGTCGCTTCAATGCATGTCGAAAGCTCCAAACTTTCATCAGTTTTGAGGTGTTATGGGTGATTTATTAATACCAATAACAATATTACAAAGACCCAACATTTCATAAGCACATTTCCTTAATAAGAGCTTTGCATTTATTTTTTTAAAGTTATACTTATTATGCTTCCATTCAACACACGGCAGAAACTGAGACTTAAAGTCAAAGTTCATCGCCAAAGGTCATTTAACTGTTCAAAGTTAAAGTGGTATACTGCTCCGATTTTGGAAAATATACAGATTTTGGTGTCTGTACCTTTAACTATTATTCTTTTTTCCCTTTCTCACAAAGCGCTTAAGTCTGCAAATTATATGCTAAATACAAACAAAAATACAGGTTATCTTTACTTTTCTGGCTTGCCTTCTAGCATGTTTTCTTGTGAAGGAGAAAAGGTGGGGAGTTGTAATGTGGGCCCTGAATCTCACCTACTCTTGTGCACTAAGGTGAACTGACATTTTTGACTAAGCTTTAATCATTGTGAGATTGTGTCCAGCAGAAGACTGAATTTTTGCTAATTAAGGGTAACCTAAAGGTGTGTCACACGTGTCAGTATTATTTCTTCTGCATGTTTGTGAGGGAAAACATAAAAACCACAAACCTAAAACATTCTTTATGTGTTAATGTGGTGAATATAATGTGTTGGTTTTTATTGACTAAATGTTTATTTCTTACTATTTCATGCAACATGCTGCATGTAATACATATATAATACAAATATATATAGAATACATATGGCTCTCCTAACTTATGTCTATTTATGGTACTTAAACTGATAGACACTCAAAATGCATTTACTTTTATGACTTCATTTATATGAAATGTCCACAGTAGAAAATATAGATAGGAAGTAGATTAGTAATTGTCATGGATTGGAAGGGGGAATGGAGAGTGATTGTTAATGGTTGTGAGGTTTCTTTTTGGTGTGATGAAAACTAGTGGTGGGATTAACGTAGTGGTGACATAGTTACATAGCCTGTGATTATACTAAACTTGTTCACTTTAAAAGTATGGATTTTATGGCATGTGAATTATATCTGAAATAGAATTTAGATATTTGAGATATTTAGGGACCTCAAATAGATCTTTGCTCTGCAACAATCGGGAAAAGGAAGAGAAATGATACCATTTTTATTTCAATTTAAGAGAAACGACATTTTCTTATTTGATGCTAATCTGAACAAACTGTAAAAAGACTTTTTGAGAAAATTGGAGACATTTGATTAGTGATCCAAAGATGTTAGAGGACTTGAAAACATCACTGATGACTTAGTTGCGTTTGATTTTGATATTATGATAATGTAAGAACCTGTCTTTTATTTTTTAGAAATGTGTACTTTTTGGTATAAGGAGATATAGCTGGGGTTTGCTGTAAAATACTTTACCAGAGGGAGAAAAAAATAAAAAGGGATTGTTTAAGGAAATGCGAAAAAATCTTGATAATTGTTGACTTTTGTAGTAGACTATGTTATCTTTTATAGTATACTTGAAACTTTTGTTTATGTTTGAGAATTTATGAAAGATGCTTGTACATGATAACCTTCATTTTTTCACTATCTGTAAAATGTAGTCAATGTTAACATTCTTAAATTATCTCAAGGCACTATAGAAGCAATATATAAATAAAATATATAGAACAAAACTTGTCCCATAATAAGTGCTTGATAAATTGTGTGGCTGCTTCTGGTATTGCTGAGGGACCCAGATATTAAGTATTGGCCCCATTATTTTTTTTATTATCAACTTCAAAGGATTCAGGAAAGTTTATTTGGTTTAACAGATTATCATGTGTTACCTAAATGTGCTTGTGACTTGAATGCCTGTTGCATGATGTTTCAAGAAAAGCCACAGCAATAGACTTTTCAGTCCAAGAAAAGACCACGCCAAATTGCTTCTTTTTTAGTGAGTCTTAATAATGACTGTGGTGTGTTGTCACTGATATCTGTCACATGAGACATTGCCTGGCACCTGATGATCTGTGCACAGTGTAGTATATTGAGTACAAATATTAGTTTTATTTCATTTTAATAAACACAATGCAGAAACATTATCACTTGCTATTTAGGAAACATGTTATATACAAGGTGCACAAAGTGAAAATGGATGTTAAAGAAATTAAATTTCAAAATGAAATAGTTGAGCATGATTGTTAGAAGACCTGTGGAGAAAATATTTCAGATTTCAGTTCTAGAAAAATGTATCATGCACACTATGAATCGTGGAACTGGTCATGTTTCTCCTTTTTTTCCTTGACTGCTGAGTTGCTCAGAGCCAAATTTATGATTTTCCCTCACAGAGTATACAGTATCATAGTGACTTACGTTCTGTTTACCAGCCTCATTTATGGCTTTATTTTTTCCCGCCTGCATTTTCCCTCTTTACTGATTTCCTCACTTAGTATGGAAGTTACTTTCATAAGACATCTTTTTGAACAAGGTGAACATAAAATAACACATCAGCTTTATTGGTGAGTAAAATTATATTTGCCTTGATAATGAAACTAATTTTGTATATGTTGTGGGCATTATGTGAATCAGAGTATTGAATCTACGGTCTTTCTCTAGATCAGCAAATATAGTGTCAAAATCCGTTGTCATGGTTCAGTTTAGGAACTCAGTTTAGTTTAATACAACTCATCATTGAATTGGAGACATGTATTTTCACACTTTCATGTGCTTGCCTTACTCTGTTACTTTGTTTTCGAAGTATTTAAATGCCTTTTTTTAACCAAGAATCACATAAGGACATGGACCAGTGTCATTTGTTTGTGAAGCTACAGCACTTCGCTTAGTGCCTGAAACACAGCAGGTATCTATGGTGTGATGAGTGAAAGAAAGAATACTAAATACACTGTCTTGGAGACAGTGGAGAAGGAAGAAACGACAAAAGGAAGAAGGAGGTAGGTGAGTGAGGTAGCCTAGAAGTAGTAGTTTGTTGTTTCTTTATCCGTTTCACCTTCTTTATCTACAATTGCTTATGGTGAGTGAAGGTTATCATCCCTGCTCAATCTTGGAAACATTTTTGAAAAGAGAAGAGTATCTGATGTAGATATGAAGGAATCTGTGCATTCCTGTATTGAAGCTCTGTCCTCACCTACCCAAGGTCAACTGAAATTTGGCTAATTCCAGAAGGAAGACAAGTTTTTAGGAGGTTAAATTCCAAAGAACCTCTATAGTGAAAGTATTCTGGTAATGTCATTTA